ATAGCCGGAGATTTCATCGCCACGGACCTCAGGGAGACTTTCACATAGCTCTTTCACCGACAGTCCTCCGATCTCTCCTTCCGACATCGAAGACTTTAAGGTCAGTTAAATTTCTTTCACCGGTTTCCAAATTTACTAAACCGGAAATCCAAAATCTCCTTGTGTGTTTTACCAAAAAAAAAAAAAAATTCTCTGTGTGACGAAAAATCGACTAATCCATTTTTTAGTAATCCCATACCTTTCTTCATGAATGGATTGTTCAGATTTGGTAAAATTTTGGGACTAGTATGTTAAATGAAGATTAGGTGGGTTAAATTTGTGAGATTGATAGAAAATATGGGTCTATAATGTAAATTAATAAAACACGTTTGACAAAACCAAAAAGGCTTATAATAAGTAATGGAGAAGCAGTAGAGTAAAAAAAGCAGAGGAACACAAAACTCAGGCTTTCTCTTCGTCCCAAGCTTTTTTCCTCTCAATCACTAGAAGTTGAGCAGTATTATTATTAAAGTTTCTTATTCACTTTTCTTTTTGGTAGTATCTATGTTATTAATATTAAATTTAATAAATTCGTGATCATTTTATTTATTTAGAAGAATATAGTAGTAGTTGTTTAGCATTTATGGTTTTTGGACCCAATTATAGGCTGGTGTATATTCACAACGGTCTATTTCCTACCGCATTCTTTTTACTACAAATGGTCCTCTTTGTATTTTTCGTAAATAGTTTTATTTACATTTATGGTTTTGGATTGGCCTATATTCGCAATGGTCGATTTCCACATCATTTTATAATTGAAATTTTTTTGTACAACTTCTTTTTAACTAAGACATGTAGAAATACTTCACTTTTGTTTTGTGAACTTAAGAAATTATGCGCAATCATAAATTTTTATCTTCTTTTTATTGGTCAGACAAATACTTGCCTTTGATCTCATGAACCGGTTTTGTGTATACGTATATTAATTGTAAGTTTTCATTCATACAGCAATTCTACCGTGTAAGTCCATCCTTTACTGGACACATACGTGGTCCATCCGCCGTCCCTGGCACAGCCGGAGGATCTAAGACTGTTGGCCGGTGGCTAAAGGACCGGAAGGAGAAGAAAAGAGAGGAGACGCGTGCACACAATGCACAACTCCACGCAGCTATATCCGTAGCTAGCGTGGCTGCCGCCGTGGCTGCTATCGCTGCAGCCACGGCAGCTCAATCGAGTTCTGGAAACGATGAAATAATAGCCAAAAATGACTCAGCGGTGGCTTCCGCCGCGACTTTGGTGGCCGCCCAATGTGTGGAAGCGGCGGAGATTCTGGGAGCTGATCGCGAGCACTTGGCCTCTGTTGTTAGTTCGGCGGTCAACGTTCGTTCCGCCGGAGATATCATGACGTTGACCGCCGCTGCAGCCACAGGTATGATTCTCCCATTACGTGATCATGTCGTTGTCGTTTTAGTGAAACCGTTAAAAGTTTGTTACTTTGATATAAATTTATGAGAATGTGTCAAAATATTCCACAAAACTCTCTATAAGTGGTCCTTTATTAACCCTAGTAAAAGACTAAAAGCTTGATCCTTGTATCTTATAAACTTTCAATTGTGAACCATAGAAAAGTGTGTTAGTTTTCGAATTTTCTATACATAGGGACTAGTTAGACTTTCGTGTCATTCAAATGCCACAGATGGTTAATAAAAAATCGAACGATTGTTCAACTACCATTATTTGGTTAAAGTGATAGTTCTTAGTAATTTTTTAAAAATATGCGTAGCTTTGAGAGGAGCTGCAACGTTGAAGGCGAGGGCATTGAAGGAGGTATGGAACATTGCCGCGGTGATTCCGGTCGAGAAGGGAATACCAAGAATACCAAAAGGCAGTGGTTACCGCAGCGATTTAGCTCCCGAAGATAATTTCCTTGGGATTTGCAGTAGAGAATTGCTAGCTAAAGGTTGCGAATTGCTTAAACGCACCCGCAAAGGTTGGTTAATGTCTTTAATTCGTCACTACAATTTATTTCATGGTAGGTAGTTATTGAATAATACACCAATGTTAATTATCCCCATCTTACTGTATTCGTTTCACAATCTTTTCAGGTGATCTTCATTGGAAAGTTGTTTCGGTATACATAAATAGAACAAAACAGGTGAAACAAGATATGGAAATTATAAAATGTTTTAGTTACTTACAAATTAGTAACGTGTTTAGCGTTCTATAGTGTAAACTAAATTATAACTTTATTGCGCAGGTAATGTTGAAGACAAAGAGCAAACTTGTTGCTGGGACCATTACAAAGAAGAAAAAGAGTGAGTGAAAACACTGATGCTTTGCTTATTTCTTACTCTTTCTTTGTTTTTAATGCGAATCCAATAGATCAAAAGGTCAAAAAGGTACTAACTTTGGAATTAGTTTTCTCAAGCCTAAGAGGCTATTAGATCGTAAAGTTAAAGAACGATTCAAAGTTTCATGATAAGATTAATCAGTTTAGAATACTAATCTCTTTCTTCTTTTTCGTGACTTGTAGCTAATTAAAAACAAAGTGAACATCCTACTCAAATGATAACTCTACTATACATTTTTTTAATGATAAATAAAGTAGATCTTGTGTCTTGGTATTGTTTCTAAGGCACTGAATTTGTGATGTATTGTTCTTTGTAGATGTGGTGGTGGAATTGGTAAAAGGATTACCCGCATGGCCTGGCCGAGAGTTGCTCGACCGTGGTGAGAATTTGAGGTATTTCGGGCTAAAGACGGTGGAGAAAAGAGTAATTGAGTTCGAGTGCAAAAGCCAAAGGGAATATGATCTTTGGACTCAAGGTGTTTCCATGCTTCTTTCCATTGCTTCTGAAAGGAGACGCTAATGTTGAATAAGGTATAGTCTTGGGGTAAAGTCAGGATTAAAATGGAAAGTAATTGGGTAAATTAGTATTATCTCTTTTTCTTGGGGTGTTTTTCTAAAATGGAAGAGATGATGGGTTTAAACTGTCTGGTTATTTTAAAAGTATGATCTTTGTCGTAGAAGATTATGTAAATTACGTAATATTTCTCGTTTTGTAAACTATGGTGATGGGCAAATCGGAGGGATTTAGGGGGTGAACTTGACCTTTTTAATTATTTTGTGGTGATTGTAGTATATGAAGAAACTATGTGGATTTCTTTACAAGTTTCGAAAGTTTAGTATTCTACGAGCATTGCATGCAACATTAAAATGGTGACTTGAGTAGAGATTAAACATTAAAAGGGTGAGGTCATAAGCATTAAAGACAGTAAGTGACTATATGGAAAATAACAAACCAACCCCTAAAGAAATTAACTTTTACATAGTAACCTCAAACTCTTGGATTTCAACAGGAAGGTCCTCGTGACACCCATCTTTGATCTTGACCAATTCACAATCATCTCCTTCCAAATAAGCCTTCAAAAACGACACAACAATTCCACCAACAAATCTCCTCATTGGTCTTCTCTCTTCACCATTCTTACACAAACAATAAGAACTCTTACCTCTAATCCCTTTTGTATCATCATCAAGCATGTCCAAATGCCCATAATCCTTCGCCACAAAATGCCACGCTGGACCTTGACATTCCCGGAAGAAGTCACGGTGGTTCACTCCGAGAGGTGCACACGGCGGGAACAACGGGTTCCGTGCAGTTTCGCCGAGCCCCGAACCGATCACTAGGACAGGCATTTTGTTGAGATCAAATGAGTTTGGTTCATAGGTTAAAACCGGAGGAGGGGTTTGTTTCCCCTTGGCCATTCCATCTACCGGATCTATACCGATCAATGTCTTGATTTTTAGATACGGGGAGTATCCGAATTTCTCTAGGGCAACCGCGAAAGCGGTTTTGCCACCACGGCTGTGGCCCGCTAGTGCGAGTTTGGTTAGGTTTGGCGTTACTTGTGGTGGAAGAAAGTGTTTTAGTCCGACGGATAACCAATCAATAGTCTCCGCCGTTGATTTTATCTCGTCCGTCGTATCCGGTCCGGCGATGCTATATAACTATTAAATACCACAAAGCCAAGAAAATGATTACAACTTGATAAAATCGTGTAACCATATGAGAGTGTAATGAACTAAGACCAATTGATTAGAGACAAAAGCAGAATAACACGTCAAGTGGACCCATAGATTTGGATCTTTGTTATTATTTTTTCTTCTTGTCTAAGGTTTCTATAGGAGCCAAACAAAATAAAAGGTTTCAGAGTGAAACTCATTGAAACGTGGCATCATGCACTCCACTCGGTTGAGTTATAGATTTTTCTTGGTTATACATTTCCCCTAAATCCAAATCAACCAATAAATGTATTTATCATGATGTTGGATTCAACTAGCTAGAATCTCTGAAACATGGACCTACTTACCTCTAAGCTTCACATTAATTCATCTTGGGTATATAGGTAGTGTAAATATGAATTTTTTGTTTTTAGATTTTTAGTATCGGCTTTCATACTTTGAAATGTCCAAGAAAGTGAATATGCGCCAGGAGTCCAGACCGATTATGCTACAAAAACTTTTTTTTTTTTTTTAAGTGAAAATGTACAAAATGACCATTCTTCTCTAGCTTACTGTCTTCTACAGCACAAGACCGGCTTTGATTATGCCATTTAGGAAGGAGGTTTTCGCATCGCAAACTTAATGCACGTAAAACATTCGGGAGGAAGCTTAAATATGACTAAGTGATCAACGTACAAATGTTTGCACACGATGGAATCGAACTCGAGTAGAACAAGTTTAGCACTAGAATCTAGACCACTATGCCACCACAAGCAGATAGTCAATACGAACATTTGATTCACACCTAACTAACTATACGCACTATGTATAATCAAGCTAAAAAGAAATTTAATTAAGTGGATCAAATTAATGTAATTAGACTCAATATTAAATTGGGAAGTAAAAATTGAAACCTGAGGAGCGATGAGGATGAAGCCATGAGAAGAGACATGCGACATAAGCTGAGAGTAAAAAGAGTTGTAGAGAAGGTAACCATGGAGGAGCATCACCACCGGATATTCTCCTTCCTCCACCGGCGTCGCCACCAACAGCTGCTTCGGCGGCGGCGGAGACGGTGTCGTTTTGCAGCAGCGAGATGATGAGTTTATGGTTAAGAGATTTGTTTTGTATTTGCCATCTTCAAAAGCATTGCTTGATGAAGAAGAGGACATTTTTTTTCTCCTTGTGTCTTTTTTCTTTGTGGGTTCATGAGAATGAGATATTATTTATTTTTATAGAAAGGAAAAAGAGTTAAGAACTAACTGTTGGCTTTTCTACAATTTTAAAAGTAAAATAAGAAATAAGAAATATAATTGAGATTATTTTCTTTGTTTGTAAGAATGTAATTGTGTTTTTAGATTACATTAAATTGAATAAAAATTGGTACAAGATTTTCTTACCCTGTTGGAATAAGAACTGGTAAAATTTATATTTGGTATTTGATAATAGATCATTCTAGACTTGTATTTAGAGCATCCGTATTGGTGATACAATGTGAGTATCATTAAATATAAAATTATTAAAATTTGAGTTAAAGGAAGAAAGAGTGTGTTTTTGGTTGAAATAGTGGAGTGTATTGAAATATAAAATTAATAAAATTTGAGTAAAGAAAAGAGATAGTTGATATTTTTGGAGAGAGAGTATCAAATAGTTGATACTTTTGATATTTTTAAAGAGAGAAAGAGAGAGTGTATCAAATATTTTTAATAATTTTATATTTAAAGAGAGTATAAAATTAATAAAAGTTGAGTAAAAGGATGAGAGAGAAAGTATAAAGTTGAGTAAAAAGAAGAGAGAGTGTGTTTATAATATTTGTTTATTTAACTGATACTCTCCTTGTATCATGGATGCTCAGAGCATCCGCATCGGTGATACCGATGCGGTATCAGTTGAATAAACAAATATTAAAAACACACTCTCTCTTCCTTTTACTCAATTTTATACCTTCTCTTTCATCTTTTTACTCAATTTTTATACTCTCTTTAAATATAAAAATATTAAAAACATTTGATACACTCTCTCTTTCTCTCTTCAAAAATATCAAAAGTATCAACTAATTGATACCCTCTCTCCAAAAATATCAACTATCTCTTCTCTTTACTCAAATTTTATTAATTTTATATTTCAATACACCCCACTATTTCAACCAAAAACACTCTCTTTCTTCCTTTAACTCAAATTTTAATAATTTTATATTTAATGATACCCATATTGTATCACCATTATTCGTGCTCTCATGCTTCTAGTATCTACTTCAAGTGAGACGGAAAAATATGAACCACAGAAACAGAAAATATCATAAAACAAAGACAATATGTTTTGGCCTTTTTCATGTAAAATAAAATTTACTTTTCTTATCAATTTAAGTTTACTTTATTTGTGGCTCTAAAATTATTATTAAAAAAAAAGCCAGAATTAATAAAAAATCTAACAGTAAAAAAACACAAATAAAATCAATTATTATAGGCCGTACACGTGGCTATCATCGCCGGAGGAAATGACCTCTTTAAATCGACCTTAATTATCAGTCTGAGAAATCAAAAGCATTCACAGATTGGATTCAGACCACCAACATCAGACATGGCTGTCGAGGTTCTACTTCCCTCCTTCTTCTTCACTTGGA